AAGAAGGATGGAGAGGAAGAAAGGAACAAGAAAAATTAAAACAGGATGTTCAGTGAGACGTCCGTTTTGTCTTATTGGCAGATTTTAACCCGAAAAAAGTATCGATTCTATTTCGAAAGTTTTTGAGCCCCGTGCAAGAGACAGATAAGCTCCTTCCTCTTCCACTTAGCCACTCAGGACCTGCGTACTGATACGTGTGGACAACACATACTCGACCCACACGTTCCCACCTTCATCCACGTGGGCACCCGGATGCACTTGCACATCACACACAGTTCCAACCCTTGTAGCAAGAAGCATCCGTGCGTAGGGTCTTAGCTGGGTGAGAAGTCAAATGGAATTGAGCGTATCGAATGGGCCAACCTCACGTGTCGGATAATGTGCTGGTGGGCAGAAATGGTGGTGGTGCATGTGCCCCGTGAGACTGTATTAAAAGACCTATGTATAAAGGGTATAGAGGTAAAGTTGCGATAGTGGAGACTGAGCTGAGCGAGATGCTCGTCGGTGGACAAAAGGCGGAGGAAAAGAGACGCGAGAGAGCCGGAAGTCCGAGAAGGCGGCATTGGAAAACGAGCAAGAGGAATCTGACGTTCAAACGGATATTTCTTGAAGTCTTCTTGGGGAATCGCGAATTGCCGCGGCTCATCTCGTACGCGTGCCTCTACATGCATACTTCTTTTTTCTAGCTTCACTTAGCTTTCCTGTGCTTCTTGTTATTTCCCCACTCCTCCCCCGTTTCCATACTCCACTTCCCATTCGCCCCTGCGCCGGGACTTGTTCCCGCATGACGAGACGTAGCGACTCTTGGAGCTTCGAAGACAGGGGGATGTTGCATGAAGAACACAGGGAGCTTCTTGAGACTCGGCGCCAGGCTGGGTAAGTGACACGAGGCACTGACGTGCCCTTGGTACGAGGAATTACTTCTAGGCAGTTCGTATCTATAATACGTTTCCATCTGAAAGAGGAAATCCTGGGATGATTTTACAATCTTCGGGTTGGCTGTTGGCTGTTGGCTGTGTGTATAACCCGGTAAGGAAAAGATTTTTTAGTCTGAGAGCAAAAAGTAGGGGAAGGTAAAATTTGACTGATAAAATCGGACAAGAAAGGTTGAACCGCTCCCGCCTTATCTTGGCCCGCGAGGACTCCCAGGGTGCGGTGTAGCCACTCGCCTCTGGTTTGCGTATCGCGGTACAAGAGTTGTCCCGAGGTTTTTGATAAATGGCGAACAGAGGAAGAAGCTTCCAGGAGGCCAGGACTAATGGACATTTCCCGGGTAATCCATCGACAATGCTTTTCACTGTGGGAGGCTGAGGTGTCCTGGTCCTGGGGTGAAGGACGACATTGGTTCCAGCGGATGCAGAAAATTGGGTTGAAAATAAGTGAAAGGAAGAGGATGGAGAATTGGAAGGGACGGAAGGTGGAAAACTGTCTGGTTCTTTTTTTCTTTTGCTAAACGTGTCTTTCCCCCCGTTAAGAAAGGGAGGCCTAAAATACGATAGCTTCGGGACCTCGCTCCCTCCACCGGCATTTTCCTCCAGCCCAACTGTCTTCCGTCTCGTTTTCCTCGAGTCCCGTAAATCTGTCACTTTCAAAGAGAAAGCAGGAGGGCCGCGTGAGGGGAAGAGAGAGGAGAGTGCCGGCCTATCGAGAGAGACATTATTCCAAAAATTCCTTCCGCTCGTCCCGCGTAGGAAACGTCCGCGCGTGCGTCCCAGAGTTCTGTCAAAGATTGGATTAATGAATAGTGTGGGAGGGGGGTAGAGGGATTTTTTGAAAATTTTTCTCTTTTCGATATGGTTCTCGGTGTTACCTGCTAGGCTTTCTGTTGCAAAATTCTGCGTGCAAAGTAAAATTGTATTGCCGACCGAATAGCTGGGAATTTGGACAGCAGTGTAATCCCGTCACTAACCTGGGAAGTTTCTGATCTCGTGGGACGCATCCGGTTGGGATCTACAGAAAGGAGGACGGGTCTACCTTTGTGCCAATCCGAAAGACGGTTTCTCAGGTTGGCCCGAACGACAAGATATCTTGGGTCGCGAATCCTATTTGATAGTGGTTGCTTGTGTCATGTTCCGAATCTTCCTGATGATGATGAGTTTCCTTTGAGAATTCGGAAGTTCCTTCTCTTTTCTCTTTCGAGAATTAGGAGATATGGCGAAAATGACCGAACTTTTGTTTCATTTTATTCAGTGGTCAGGTGCATGGACAGATGGACATATGATTTCTGGAAATCCTGCGTATAGGTCCGATAAACAAACAGTAATTTCTTTATAGAAATAAAAGGAAAGCCCTTTCATTGGATCAATTGAATTTTAATACCAACCCTCGTTCCTGTTAGACGTCCATTACCCGATGCTTCTTAATGTTGGTAATATTTTTTTTCCACCCTCGAGCAACTAGCGAGGCGAAAGTCCGGGAAACTCATCGAGAGTCCAATTAGCAGTTGAGTTTCTCGTTTGAAAGGTTCCCCCCTCTCTGTCTCTCTCTCCCTGCTTTTCTATCTTTCTCTCTTCCTCTTACTCTCTCTCTTACCCCGTTTGGCCGAGAACGGGATACTTGTCGAAGCACTGAAACGAAAGAGGTAAGAATAGAATAGACGGGGTTGGAAAGTTATAATGGAAGGGCCCAAACGACGGCGTGTGACCTTTGACCTCGAAAACCACCGTCATGTATTGTCCCCGTTGTGAGGTCTGCCACAAGAAAAACCGTCCTCCGCTAGACAGGCAACCCTCGAAATTCTGTGGGATTTGCGGCCGGCTCCTTCCTGACTGAGAAAATAAAATATGTTTAATGAGGATGGCGGGAGGTAAGCAGCCACCCTTAGATCGTGCCGCAGGACTGATTCCTCCACCGGGTGGTTAACATGGTCTTGGAAAACGCTAGGCTACCGCACAAGGGGTTAAGGGGATAAGGGGACGAAGCTAGTGGGTGGTTTATTTATGACGAGGCCCTTCGTTAAGGCTCTGTGTTTCGGAATCCTTAACGAGTGTTTAAGGATCCGATAAGAGGGCTCTTCCAAACCACTAGCTACACATCCTCTTCAGAGCCTCTATACATATAGCTCAATTTGGAGTCTTGCTCTCGGCACCCCTTCACCCCCAATTTCATCCCACGTGTCTCTCACTTCAACATTCGGAATCTCTCTCCTCTTCTCTCTCTCTCTGTTCTTCCTTCTTCCTTAGCTCTTTCTTCTCTCTTCCCTTTCCTGGAATTTCTTGCTTGCACCGATGCGTACGTAGCCGCAGGACGAGTAATTTGCTTCGGTCGGAGTTTTCCGGGGTG